ATCTAGGACGTACCAATTGGAAGTGTTTTTGTCAGTATGACGGATCATTAAAAATATGTGCTGCCTGCATAATCATTATTCTTGTAGAACAAACTAATTATTTCTACTTTTTCAACAATTGTATATCTAATCCATTTTCACGAACTGGAATTCAATCAACTTTATGATGATTTTACGAGATATTGTCTCGACAAGACAAGACGAGGCAATATTGTATCGTTTAAAGTAAAACAGGGAAAAAAGTTGAACTGATAGAGTATGAAGTGTTCGACAGATAAACCAAAAATCGGAACAAATTTTTTTATCTAGAAATTGTTGATGAATGTCGTCAGGTAACGCCCGACATGCTTTAAAATGTTCATTCAGAAGTGGAGCAAAGATTTTATTATTATATGGAAGTGGAGGGAAAGCAATAATAGCTTCCAAGACACCAAAACATACGCCATCATGTGTCTCCCTTGAAAAGAAAATCGACGTGTCCCAGGTTTTTTTTTGTTTTTTTTAATTCCAATATTTTCCAGGTGGGAAGTTTTATTTGGAACATCCTGTATGCCCAGAAAGATCTGTTGCTGATTTTCTGATTTCAGATTGAAGTTTCCGAAAATACAGTTCATAAATGAACTAAATCTGACACCGATTATAGATAATTCTGAAGCATATTTACAAATCTGTAGTAATAAGTTTCAGTTAGTTACAGGATAAGGTTTATTTCATACGATTTATCATTTTTGAGTTAATTGTTCAAAACTATAATACCTACATAAAATGCTGAGGATTAAACAATTGTTTACTACCTTATGATTTTTTAATAATCACATCATAAAGTACCATAAAAATCGAGGTTAACTTGTTTACTTAATGTTAATACTCGTACCTAATTTGTTTGTCTTCATTTTTTATTTTTGGTCCTAAAGTCTTGTATAACAATAGGAGAAATTAATATAAACGCTATTATAATTTGAGGTATAATCGTAGTTCTTGTAAGTATTTGTACTAATCAATTTTTCTTATAATCTTACACAATAATGAATGTTTCATGTGGTTTTACATAACAAGTTTTCTTGGGATTCAATACTTCTTCTATATCTAATTAAAATTGTTTAACTGAATACAAAACACCTGACTAGTGATGAAACTCGCCCAAGTAAAACCTCAAATATGTGTATTTCTGAGTGAAACAAAATTTCCCAATGAAAATTTTCCATGTCAATTTATTTTTGTTTTGTATTTTTTGACCACAACAAAAGATATTTATTCCATGTCATAAGTCATAAGTCAAAGTTTTATTTCGTGGAGTAACATTTTTTTATACTTATTACATTACTGTAAGATTTATAAAAATTTATGGGAGTTTCCCAGGTATTTCTTTTGAAAGCAGATAGCATAATCAAATATTTTTGTTGATTTAGAAACTAATTAAAATGATAAATGATGAAAATTTTGTAATAATACCTGGTATTCCATTTTACTTTAATGATTTAAGTAAGCAGATACTGAGAAGTGACAAGTTGCAACATGAGAAGTTAGTGGAATTTGCTTAACTCATTTAAAAACTTCAACAAAGTGACAAATATACAAGGTTGGACAAATGTTTCGGAACACCTGTGTACAAGGTGTAACTGTCACTATTGACTACATCTGACAGGAATAGATGATTTAATTTCTTTTAAACAAAATTTGCAAAAACGATAGCAAACCTTTTTCAGGTAGCCGTGACAGAAAATGTAAACAGCTAAATCCAGATCCACCAAACACTGTATCATTGTAATTGGTGAAAATCTGTCTTTCTAAAAATGTTAAAATAAACGAGGCGGTCCATTTAAAAAAAACTGCCGACAACACCGTATCTCTAAAAATAAAGTAGATGTTGGAAATTAAAGTACGTCATTGAAAATAATAAAAACAAAAATTTTGTTAAAGGTATTTTTTAATCAAACTTGTGGTTCACCTTGTACACAGGTGTTTCAACACATTTGCCCAACTCTGTATACCTATGACACGTTTGAAAACCATGTCCTAAATTATTCTTGAATAATTTATTAAAAACTTTGTTTCACACACGATTTTCGTAAAGTTCTTAGGAATCGTTTTAGGAGAAAAAATAATTCCCTTATTTTTATGCTTATCTTGTTGAAATTCGTATCACAAATGGTGCAAAGTAAATTAAAAGAGCACATGTAAATAGTGAACCCACGAAACAGATTATATGAGATGAATGAAGAAGTAGAACCCGTGCTACATTCTGTTTATTCGAGATAAATTCTATAGGATGAAACTTCAGAACTGTATAGATTTAAGATAAAGATAAGAGTATCACGTATGCTGTCAATTTCTCTCTTCTCGCATCCACCATCCACAACTGAGTTGTACAGTTAAGAAGTTATATTACAAGTTTAATCTGTTTTAAAATAATTCCTCTCACCTAAGTTAACTATGCACGGAAAACGACAGATTTTGCGCAAATAAATTGTAGCCTTTGTTTCCTCTATTCCTACTTGGAATAAACATCACATTTGTTGACTGTAGTAATTGAATAATGATACAAAATGCATTATGATTTTTGATTTCGATAAATAATGTCTCAATTTTTGACTAGTTCCTTTTGTTAAAGAGAATCGCTATTGACAATAATAATGTCAAAAAATGATCATTCGACAAAAATTTAAAAATCGTTTCAAGAACAATAATTCTTTGGAATAATAATTTTACCGCTATCTCTTTTTCTACCGATAAATTGCATTCATTGAATAAACAACCACAAATTGTTTGAACTTTAATCGGCAACTATAGTTTTAATTTGAGCCAACATGAATTAAAATTAGATGATTCATTCACGATGAACATGACCCCAAGTAACCGAGTCTTTATGCAAAATTCATGTAAATGGATTTGGATGCTTGTGAAATACGACATAAATACTTAAATAGATTTTAAATTGATACTTGATTTCAGCACATTTCTTTTGCGGTATATAAACTTATTCTTGTTTTTAATTTTTCCATAAATAACGCTGGGAAAATAAAACTAAATTACTTATGGTATTTAATTTGAATTGGCTTGAATTTGAAATGGTTCTGAATATGACGTGTGAAATTACTGCTACGAAATAAACGTAATTAAGTAATGTAATTATATTAAAAGAAAAAAAACGTAAATCTTCAAACTTTGATAAATCATAAAAATAAAGATAATGTAATAAACAATAATATATAAATTAATGTATATCTCATATATCTATGAAAACAGATAAATAAAAGACGTCAATTGTTACATTCAATTATATGATTGACCAGTTTATTGACATATTTATCTCAACTTTGGAATATTCCATATTTATGACAAGTAAAAATTGTTTGGAAAAACTCTCCCTTTTACCCAGTACACAATATTTGTATAGTTTTGTCTGAAAGGGCTGATTTTTAGGATATCTGAGATAATTAGCCCATTAAGAATTATACTTGTATCTGTCTCATAGAAAACGTTTTTTTTAATAGATAACTACAAAGCCTATCAGGCCTCTTTTATAATTCTAGACCAGTTGAAGTAAATAATAGCAATTCTAGTAGCATGATGTAACGTTAATTTCAGATAGAGGAACGTCAAGGACAAGTGGATGATATATATCATTCACACTGTTCTAACAAAAATGTTTTCGCTAATTCCAATAAATAAAATAAGCCATAAGAAGGTCTCAATTAAGTTTTTTAAATAGTTGATTCGCGTACAATTTTAATCCTTGTCAGTTTGAATGAGCACCATGTTTGTTTGCAACTTTATTAATTTGGACGAATGAATTATTATTAAAGCATATGGAATTATCACTCATATTTAGGCTAGTACGGACTAACTACTTAAATAAAATTTGTGATATAAAAACTGTTTTAACAATAGTCTTTGACCAAATTAATTTGTTTTTAGGATACGCCATATGTCATTGAAGGCCGTCATACTCTTAACATCAGATGTTCAAAATTTCGGGAAGACATTGGAAAAGTTCTCGTTTTTTTGGGGCCTCTCAGAAAAATTCATATTATATATTTTCTCCAGTTTCATACAGTATGTTGAAACTACATGGATCAGTGACGAAGAATTTGACTTTGTTGCCACATCAACTCTTGATTTAACTAAGAAATTCTGGTACCTAACACATTTTTGAAATCAGCTTTTAAATATTAGTTAAGCAATGACAACAATTAGAGGTAATATTTTCGTATGTTATAGTATTAATGGTATCACGACACTGGTTCTAATTTTAGAGATTTTACAGATCCTAACGAGAATATTTTTATACAAAAAATAGTTGATAATCAGATGGAATTTAAACATGATTATTTCTACATCAATGAAGAGTAAGACTTTCCTCAGTTTTCATAATGAATAGCTATGATTAAAATAAGTTTTAATTATAGTTCAAGAATCAGTCTTCTAAAATTTTGCTCCAGGATCTTTTTTTTGCTACAGTGTGTATTATCTCATGAATCGTTCTCACAACATTGTTTTACGTTTTCATAATGTACCTTTTTTATTGCAAATATTATCAATATGATTTTAACATCATAATAACATTTCTTGCAGTGTTCTGTAGGTATATCTAGTAAACAAAATATTTACTTTCCTAACTACGTCAAAGGTTAACAAATACCTACATACGTTGATATATTGTAGTAATATTAATATTTAATGCAATTATCAAACATAAGGCATAATAACTTTATCTACAAATAAACTAATTTCGCTAAGCTTCTAGTCCTTTATTTCACATAATTTGAATGTAATTCCGCCAGGAGATTAGTTTTATGGTAGGAACGAACTAAAAATCTGTCGACACACGTGCTTTTTATAACAGACACGTTATAGATAAAAATCTGACACTCGTTTTATATTTCAGTTCATTTTATTTACTATTAAGGTAGGTAATTTAATGTTTGGTGTTTTTGGTACTGTACTACTATATACACAATTTAATAAAACTTGGAATATAATTGATGCAATATACTTACGTTTTTTAAATACTTTTTTAGCAATCGGTTTCTTCTCTAAGTTCCCTTTTACATCCGTCTTTATTTGTTTGGCACTGGATTCTTCTTCCGCATCATCACTCCTTTTTCTCTTCCTTCTAGTAACTGGTTCATTTTTAGTGTCATCGCTGACGGATTTTTCGGGTTTCTCAATATCATTTTTCAATTTCTGTTCAGTGTCCGGTTCCTTCGTCTTACATATCTCTACTTTTTCTTTTACGTCATTCTTTAAGCTAGGTTCATTAATAATTCTTTCATCATCATCTTTCAATTTCTGTTCGGTATGTGGTTCCTTCGTCTTGCATACCTCTACCTTTTCTTTTACATCATTCTTTAAGCTAGGTTCGTTAATAATTCTTTCACTGTCATCACCAAAGGAGTCTTGTCTCTTCCTTTTCGACATTGTGGAGTACAAACGATCTGCCAACTAATAAGTGCCCGCTGCAAACATAAACTAATAATATTTTCAGTAATTTCGATAAAAATGTTGTTCGTATCTTATTTTCCCGTGGATTAACGTTCGACAGGTTTATGCTCCTGTTACAATTATTTATTTATCTAATCTTTTTAACGTACCTAATTTACTACTGCAAATTTGTGACAAGGTGAGGTCAGTAGCAATAGTGTCAAAATATTTACGGGCAAGATTTGAAATGAGAACAGAAGTTTCCAATAAAATATTTAGAAAACATATTATGAGATTGTTAAAGTGGAGTTTGTATTAGTTCGTGGGTAACATTCTCTGTAGTTGATTTATGGTTTCTTATTGTAGTACATATTGAGGTTTTCGTCATCATAGGTAAGTTAAAATAATGAATAGTGCAGTTATCGCATTGCATTTGGAACAAAAGCTTAATTTTTGTCCATTGGGTAAACTAAAATTAAATTAACGGTTGATTACCTATATCATAGAAGAGGCTCCTTTGAAATAGTATAGTTCTTAATTAACAATCTTTAAATGCCATTTTTTACTTTTACTATTATTGTATTTTCTTTATCTAAAAAAATAATATCTCATTTACAAATTGATATTAAGTAGGTAAGAGAAGATTCCACCCCCCTGAGTATAAAAAATAAGAAAAAAATCAAGATGAAATATTTAAAACCCATATTGTCTATCTGCTACATTAGCTACCTTAATAAGTGAAATAATGTCCAGGTAAAGCATTCTGTCGTTTTAGAAATATTAAATGTTTTAAAAAGTTGCATTCCAGGTGAAATGACATGCTTCGAGTGAGGCTGAAACGGCCGATTTTTGCAACTATTATTCAATATAGAAGGTGTCCCATTTTAATCGACCACCCGGAATAACTTTGCAAGATGACCTCCAATTGAAAAACTTCCATAACAAAAGAAGTAAGTTTTTAAGGACGGTATGATAATGACCTTGGTTTTAACTCAGAGGTCAAACTTAGGGGTCATTTGACGGTCAACTTCAGAATTTCAAATACATACCCCGTTTGTTTTATCCAGATATGGAAAGCGCAGGAAATTTTATGTTGAAAGATGTATATCTTGGATCAGATTGATCTATAGGGGCCTCTTTATGACAAAGGTTGACTAATTTTTGTGACAAATTCCGTACAAAGTACCGTGGTCATGATTTATGGTCTAATTGTGACTGTGACCTTGAACCCTGGGGTCAAATTTGGAGGACATTTAAGAATTAATTAATTATTGGTTTTTCTATCCAAAGATAAGTAAAGCGGAAAATATCATGTTCAAAAGTTTAAGTTAAAAAACTAAAACCGATTTTGAAGGACGCCTAGGGTTTCATCTGATGCAGGGCTGAGTATAAATTTTTTTACGTGATATATTTTGCTTCTCCCATCTCTGGATAGAATAACGAAATCCAAAGTTAACCCTTAAATGATCCCTAAATTTGACCCCAGGAGTTATGGTCGGAGTTAAACCATAAATCATGACCACGGCCTCAAATATTAATCAACCTTTGCCATAAAATGTAAACATTTCAGTAGGAAAACAGATTTGACCTTCAGAGAGCCCCTACGGATCAATCTGACCCAAGATCAAATACATTTTTGAATGTAAAATTGGTTCCTCTTACCATTTCTTGATAAAACGAATGGAATTTCTATTTGAAATTTTGAAATTGACCTCTAAATGACCCCTAAGTTTGATCTCTGGGTCAAAACCAAGGTCATTATCGTAAGACCTCCTTGAAACCTTGTAAAGTTATTTGGGGTGACCGATTAAAATGCGACACCCTGTATAACGAAATACATATCTAGTGAAGAATTTGATTAAATATACAGGGTGTTTGTAAATAAGTGCGAAATATTTTAGGGGGTGGTTGCCGAAGTTATTTTGTGAAAAAAAGTTCATATAAACGTAGGTCGAAATATGCCTCATTTTCGAGATACAGAGTGTTTAAATTTCAGTTTTTTTATTTATTTTTATTAATTATTTCAAAGAATTTTAAATATATCGACTCGAAATTTGATGGTTGTATTTTATTTAGAAATATTGACAACAACCTACTAGATAATGTATCAATAGAAATTAAAAATACACGACTTGCAATAAAATATGTTATTTTTTCCTCAAAAACGGTGCATCCTACGAAAAAAATTGAAGAGACCAATTTCATTCAGAATTTTTTTTTTATTAAAAAAGGTTGTGGCATTCTCGCACAAACGTCACTGGTACAAGTAGAAATATTCGGATCACCCCCAAAAATGTACATTTATCCCTTCAAAGCGTTTTTCAAATTTCGAGTCAATATCTTTAAAATAAAAAAATAAATAAAAAATTAAACACTGTATCTAGGAAACGAAGTATATTTAGATCTACGTTTATATGAACTTTTTTTGACAAAATAACTTGCGCAACCACCCTCTAAATATTTCGCACTTATTTATAATCACCCTGTATAAAGAAATTTTTATATGACATGAATAAATTTCTTTCATTATCTTTTGAGGAATATAAAAAGTTTAAAATACCACATATATTATTTCCAACACATGCTTTTGACATAATTATTTATTAAGCACAAGTATAAATAGTAGGTACCTATAAAATTTTGTTTATGCTTCTAATAAGTTTTGAGCATATAAATGCTATTCTTTTCACATTATGTGTCGAAAAAGAAATATGTCATCGCCCTTTTAATTAATATCTTTAAATTCTCTGTAATTTATGGTTAACTAATAAAAGTAATTATAAAATATAAAACTGTTAATTATCGATATGGTTTCCGAATTTTGTGAATCATAAAAATTAATTTTATTGCGGCGAATTAATGGATGAAATTTTTTATTACTGTAAATTGCCAATAATAAAAATACGTTAGCAAGAACAGAGTTACAATTAAACAGTCATTTTATACAAAAATTACAGTAAATCGCTATTACAATTTTAGTTTTGGCGGTTATAACGAAAAACTGTGTCTCATTTCAAATTTTTTGTAGGTAGACATAAGTAGGTAAATTTAGTGAAATTGACTCTCGAATGCATTTCTGACTTATTTTTGCTGTTCAGTGGTTTATTTACTTAATTTTTAAATGTTTTTTGGTAGCTAAAAATTAGTAATTATAACAATAATAATGAAGTTAGTAATTTAGCGACAAATAATACTATTCTTTTTTATTAAGACAATCTAAGATATCAAGCAGTACTTACATATTTTTAAATAAGAGATCATCCATATAGTGACACCTTCATCATTACCTGTAAACACACACTTGTTAAAAAAATTACATAACGATATTTAGAAAATAAAACGTTAATACACTTTACTCTTTATTTTCATTTTTTATTTATTGCTTGTCTAGATTGTCAGATCAGCTCACAAACTTATTTATATTTTTATTGATGCATTTCAGCGAGTTACTACTAAAAGCCTCCAGTATTAAATAGTATTCAGTACACATTTTATTTAATCATCCGTAATGTCTGAAGTTTACTGCGTGGTGATGAGAAAAAAATAATTCACTTACAGATTACGACAAAATTTATATTATTTATTATGAAGAAATTCTTCTACGACTATTGTTTTTCGAATCGTCGAATAGTATGTTAAGCCGATTACAGATGATACGATTATTTGCCATATATTTGCCAAATGAAGAACGGCGGAATGGTCGAGAATGTATTTGTGTATATTTAACGGAACACACGTATTTTTCAAATGTAAACAAATGCCATATCGTGTCGATGGTACATATCGATACATTCGAAGGTATGTTTTACTTGCCAAACATTATCAGAAGCTATACAAACTGCACACCATTTGGATTATTCAACAAGAGAGTGTTATTAGGTATGTGATGATTTGATAAGTGGACAGTAAACTAAAGTACAAAAAGGAATCTGTCAGAACGCAAGAATACCACTGTGTTCATTTTTGTATTTTAATTGACTGTCCTCTGAGCAAAAAAAATAGCAGTGGTTGAAATGTGGACAATTGGTAAGTAAAAACATTGTGTTTAGGAATATTTGGGAAGGTATGTATTTGTTATGTGCTCAAATTTCACATCTGTAGATTGTGTGTGATATAACTTGGCACTATAGATATTGGCAAAATAATTTGCCAATGACAATATCATCTGGAGCCGGCTTTAGGGAGAAAAATGTTCACAAAAGATATACAGGGTATCCCACCGGGAACTGCGTCGATCGATACCTAGGAAAGTACTGCTCCGAAAAATTTAAAAATTTGGCTACATTCTCTGAGGAGAACACAACTAAAATATCTAGAACTCTCCAGAACTTCCGGTTATATCGAAATGCGACACCCTATATATTACTGCATTTTCGGATTCTACGTGAAATTTGAGGGTCACTTTATTAAATATTCCCTATGCCCAGGAGTTCTAAATTTTGAGATATTAATATTTAAAGAAAAAATTTTACAGATGCAAGGGTCCCCGGAGATGCTAGTAAAGGGCATAGGTAATCCTAAATTATGATATACCAACAAATTAAAACATTTAATACTAGGTGTTTCATTTTTGCTGTTACATTTTAATAACTTCAAACAGCTATAACTTTGTTAACTTAAATGGAACACTCTGTATTTTTTACTCTGTCGTATGCAGATTGAAATTTCCTTTCAAGCCATATAAGCATTTTTAGGGTTGCCATTACTATTTTTAGAAATATTTACAATTTTTTATTTTTTTGGACACTGTCTCATATCAGACCTGTTGTCAAATTGGTCATGACCAGAAACACTCCAAAAACAATGGAAATAACTTGACATTTGTCAAGTTAGTTGTCAAATTATTGATGTGTCTGGACAGATTTTGCTGAAAATTTAAATAAAAATGCCTGGGAACCGTTTAAATTACCTATACTAATGAAGATTATTTTAATTTATTTGTTATGGAAAATGTGACAGTAATTTCAAGAACATGTGGAGGATTTGCTGCTTTTTCCCATTATACATTTTTCAAAACTTGACGAAACTGTTCTATTAAACATTTATGTATAAGGATGTAGGAATTTGAATTTATGTATAAGGTATTTAGAAAAAAATGGTGTAGCTAAAATTTTGGAAAATTCTCTTGCGAGTTCAAAATACTAGGTACTAAGATTTGCAATTGAATTTTCAATTTCGGAGATATCTACCAAAATAGTATGCCTGTATTGTGTTCAATAGAAGCTAAGAAACCGATATAGTATCTTGAATTGAACTTACAGCGGATTGTATTGCATATATCTACTTTGCTATTAAAGACAGTTCTATTAAAAACCATAGTCATTATCACAATTGCTGTAATTCTAAGAAAAGTTTCTTACAAATAAGTAAAACGATGTTATTGAACACACTCAACTTTGATTAATTAAGTTTAATACTTACTATAACAAAAATAATAAAGAATGTTATTTAACTATACTATCTTTTTAATAAGAAATAGGTAATTCCTTTTGTGAAACCGAAATAATATCATTATCAATCATTATGGATTTAGGATGTCCAGTTTTAATTAACCACGTTGAACAAGTGAAAAACTATTTTATTTTATATAAAAAAATCGTATTTGACATAAGTGCAAATAGGCTCAAATTCATATTAAATAAAGGATTTCGGACAGTATCTCAAAAACGATAGGTAAAACTACAGGTACCGAATATTTATTTCATGTAACTTAACTTACTTATTTCCAAAACTTTTTATATTCAAAGTTGCATCATGTAAAAAAAATTTTGTTTATTCCAAATAATTTTAAAATAATGTGTACGATACATATTGGATATCTTGTATAAAAACAATCTACACTTATTTTCTTCTACCAGTAGCATGCGGAAGTGTCTGCCATACCCCATTTGTGAAAATATATTTCTACGATCTTACATGCTTTTAAGGTATCGACTGAATGATTGAATTCTGCTTAAAAAACCAGGTATCTTTTTTAATATGGGTTAATGTTGTCAAATTCTAACTAAAAAATCGAATTCCTCCATCAAGTTCTGACAAACGAATTTGGGTTCTCCTACATGGAAAATTAAGGAATTATTTTCCTACATAAACATTCTTTTAAGAAATAAAATCGATTTTGAAGTTTTATGAATTGAATTATATAATTATATAATATACAGGGTGTCCCATAAGCACATGATCAAAGTGGTTCTGCGACATTCTTTGGCTCAAAAGAAGACGATTTGACCTAACTTCCATTAAGAAAAAATGCCTGGCTCCTCTGCTATTGACTGTCAAAATTCTTGAAAAAAAATATGTTTTTTTTTGTAATATCTGGAGAATGTTACCATGGATTTTAATGAAACTTGATATGGACTTGTTTCTAAGTAAAACTCATGTTTTGATGAAGCAACCGCGTCCATCTGCCTTGGGTTAGTGGTAAATTCTTGAATGTCTTGGTACAAGAATTACCATAACTTTTTATTTGGTCGCTGGAATTAGTTCATTCTATTTTTATTGATGCATCAGTCCTTTTTCGAGATTTTCGTGCTCTTGGTAAAATCTTGTAGCTTTCATAGTTTTTACTCATTTTTTTTTTTCAATTTTAGACATCATTATCACTACTACACAAGTACAACAACTACTCGCTACAATTACTACTATCGTAGTAAGCGATGATGCCATTTATAATAAATAAATCTTTTCACGTTAGTTGGACATCCGATACATTCGTTTCGAATGGCGTTTTCTAATGAAGAGATAACCGACTAATCAAAGTCTTAGGGTTTTGCGAAGATAACTTGGGTGGGAGTGTACGGTCTACGCGATACCCAAATCGACGGGTTCCATATTACCGATTTACATGAATTGAAAAGAGTTTGCGGGAGACTGGGCAATTTGGTGTTCGAGCCGTTGACCGTGTGGGTTGTCCTCAAGTACGAAATGCAGCCGTTGAGGGAGATGTTTTTAATAGGATCGCTGAAGATCCAAATATCAGTACACGCCGTCTGACAGTGGAATTTGGCATACCAAAAAGTACAATTAATCACATCGTAAGACAGCAGCTACTCCATCCTTATCATGCGACGTCTATTCAGGAGCTTTTATCACACCATTTTGAGAGAAGACGTCAATTTTGCCCTTTTATTTAAAGAGCGCGGGCACATGATCCAAATGTCACCAGCCGAATTTTTCACTGATGAAGCTGGTTTTACCAGAAGTGGTATCTTTAATTTACGCAATTTCCACCATAACGCAGAAGAAATCCCTCATATGAGGCGTATTAACCACTTCCAGGTGGAATTTCCAATAAATGTTTGGGCCGGGATCATCGCTGACATCCTTCTGGGTCCTTATGTCATGCCGCGCCGCTTGAATAGCGAAAATTATTTCAATTTTCTGAGGAATACCTTTCCGGTTCTAATGGAAGATGTCCCTCTCGATCTTCGTGTTCAGATGTAGTTTATCCACAATGGTGCTCCTCCGCACTTTAGTGCAAATGTAACTGCACATTTAAATAATACCTTTCCACACAAGTGGTTCGGAAGAAGAGGGAGAGATGTTCCTGTCGAAAGGCCCCCCAAGCCCCCCGACTTAACGCCGTTAGATTTTTTTCTATGGGGAGCCTTGAAGAATAAAGTTTACGCTACTCCTGTGGAATACCAGGAGGAATTATTGCGTAGGATTCAAAACGAGGCGGACGGAATACGGAATGATCGAAAAATATTGAGGAGGGCTCAATTCAATTTCAATCGGAGGATCTAGCTATGCACCCAAGAAATGATTGTCTAAAATTGAAAATATTTTTTTACGTAAAAACTATGAATGCTACAAGATTTTACCAAGAGCACGAAAATCTCAGAAAAGGACTGATGCACCAATAAAAATAAAATGAATTGATTTCAGCGACCAAATAAAAAGTTCTGGTAATTCTTGTACCACGACACTCAAGAATTAGTCTTACTTAGGAACAAGTCCACACCAAGTTTCATTAAAATCCATCTTGGATGGAAGTTAGGTCAAATCGTCTTCTTTTGAGCCAAAGACTGTCGCAGTACCTTTTTGATCATATGCTTTTGGGACACCCTGTATAATTAGATAATTTTTAAGATAATTTGAATGGAAGGTTTACCTCAGAAAATGTTATGCTAAGCGTTTTTTTCACAAGATCAAGTTCAAAAAATTTAAAATAATAATGTTCCCTAATTGTACTGTAGTTGAGTAAAAATATATGGTTTGATTGATCATTTTCAAATTGGTGTGATTAAGTAATCTGTAAAGTATAGTTGACGTTTTAAACTGGTATTATAAATACTAAGCACTAATTATGATAATAGTATAAGATAGATAACTGTCTCTTGTAGATTAAAGTTTTAATGCGAAATTACTATTACGTTAGATCTATAATATTTTTAATATTCATTGACGTATTATTGGTATAGACACCTATATATTTCGAGGAGTCAGTTCATCAATAAGAAGAAAGTAAGTTTATTTTTGGCGTACTTTTGGTTAGAGACTTTTACAAAAAACAAAAAATAGTCGTTAAAAAGTTATATCGTAGACAGTATTCAATTATGTAGGTTATCTCAATTCTTCCATTTTTACGTTACATTTTGAGTCTGCTTTTTTAAATTAAGTAAAGGGTATCCCAATATTCACGCAAGAGGTAATGTTGATAGAAAACAAATATTTTTAATTAAAAATTGTAGTTTTTACTGGTTCATAAAATATGCAGTATAGTTAATGTATGGAATAGCATATCGGGTAAATGGCCTCCACGGCTTTGCTGTCGCATATGCACTCTTTTAACGAAATGCGACTGAATTTCGTTGGTACAGCGTTCAATTTCCTTCTTCAAGGGAGTTTTCGTCATGGGCTTGTTGGCATAAACTTTAGACTTTAAAAAAACCCATAATAAAAAAGCCAAATAAAACGGGAAATTACACGACCAAGAAATGATTCATGCAGTAACTGAGTTGTTTCTCGGGCTGTATGGCATGTGGCACCGTCTTGTTGAAACCACATGTCGTCTACATCCATATCTTGCAGTTTAGGCATAGGAAACTGAATTATCACGTCTCGATAACTAGCACCATTAACTGTTAATGCCTGACTAGCCGCATTTTCAAAGAAGAATGGTCCGATGATGCCTCCAGCCAAAAATCCGCACCAAACAGCGACACGTTGTGGTTGCATTTGCTTCTCAACAATCACTCGTGGATTTTCTGAACCCCAAATGCGACAATGTCGATTAAATAAGCCATCAATATGAAAGTGAGCCATGAAGCTCATTTTAATCGATGACGCTGAAGATGATTTTATTCAGCATACACTTGTCGTTGTTCCATAATAGATTTCAACGAACTTTCTTCGCTCTGCGTGGTCAATAGGCTTCAGTTCTTGAGTCAATTGAACTTTGTAAGCATGAAGATGCAAATTTTCCGCCAGAATATACACTACTTCTTGAAATTCTTGACCATGATGCCGAATTGGTGTTCTTGGACTCACAGCAAAACTCTGACGAACTGTCTCGATGTTTTGTATTAGATGACTTGTCTCCCTGAATTTTTCAATTCATTTCTTCACATTTGATGAAGTTAAATCACTATTCCGACCATGTTTTGTATAAAAATTCCGAATTGATAGGTGCCAAGCCTTTATTATTTTTAGAGCATTGCTCAACAATGAAAATGCGTTCTTTCGGTTAGGGCTCGGATAGTTGTCATGTGTTTTTTTTTTTCGTTGGCAGCACATTACCGAACAAATGGCGCAAAATTTAAATCATGCGTGCATTTTGGAACACCCGATACCTTTGCAAAAGTATTATAATACCTATTGTAAACAAACTACCTACAATATTTGTAATCTATATAATTTCAAATTTAGATATAACTGTATTTCTCTTTATGTGCATATATGTTATACAATTTTAACAATATTTAATACTATATTTGAATTGTATATTGCGTTATAGTGAGTTAAATATTTTGAATTCGAATATACTAGAGAGAGAAAGAAAATTATTCGAAATTGTCATTGCAAGTTTTTTTTTTGTAATATATTAGAAGCACAATAATATCCATACATGCATTATTTGTACTTATAGGTGAAAAGTATTTATATTTGCAAATATTACTATATCTGGATTTACTAACAACATACGTAATTTAATTTACAAATTAGATAGTTATCTAATAGTTAAAAATAGAAAATATTTTAAGAACTTTAATATTGGATAATCTACGTGAAAATTAATCCATAATGACAAAATCTGCTGTTTTTTTAACCAGTTAATAATTCACTTGATAAAATTAGGATTGTATAAAAGTTATCTAAAACTAGAAAACATTACTCAGCTATATTCATCAGCAGAATGGGAATGTTAGAATGAGAATGAGATGTTAGTATTTGCTAGGTAATCACATCAAACACAACCACTTAGCTTAATTATTGCACACTATTTTGCAAACATCTCCCTTATTATTAAAGATAGACTCATTAAATCTTATTCATTGTAATCGGAAAAATGCGTTCTATCAAAATAAATATACATTTAAAGGAATTAAGTTTTTATTGTATCTGAAAAAGTGACAATCTGGCAACAATGTAATACTCTCATCAAATGGACCACACCCCGATTGTAAACTTTGATATTAAAAAACAACACAAGTTATAGGAACTAAATAAATAATTGTATATAATTTGCATTAGGTACACAATAAAAAAATTAATCCTGCTAGTGAATTTTTACGCCATATAAAATACTTATTGTAAACACTTACATATTGGAAAAACCAATTAAAATTAATGACCCAGAAACTGGCTTTTATTTTACACTACCCAATGCTATGATGTCGTCACAAATCTTGGTCACACTTACAAAAGAAAAAACAAATTGGCATTGGTTGTATTTCCCTACTGATACAATAACACTACTGGAATTTTAAGTAGACTTTCTGGTTATCAAAATGTAAATTTTTTTCTAACGAACGGAATACATTAAAAACTACTAGCTTATTTATTTTTTATATTACCTTAAATTTCAGTCAGCTGCACTTGTAATGGAATCAGTTAATGACTAATAAAATATTTTACCTTTATCGAAATAAATGAGGTGTTATAAATTTCATTACAGATAAAAACTGTGGGATGAAGTGATACACGTCTTAAAATGGTTTAACAATTAACAAGAAAATCGGAATGATACGTTTGATTTGATAAATTACATGAAAAATTTATTTTGTAAATATTTTCAGTCGGTGAATTGATCACATTATCTATATTCTTAATCAAATAACCGTAATCAAAGCCTGTAAATTTAAAGTTAATTTACAGCAACAATTAATCGTATTTATCTTGTAAAATTTCGAATTCTTTTAATTATTTTGTACTTTTAATTAAAAAATTATACAATTACAAAAAAATTTTTTAATTTTGTAAAGAATTTTTCAAAATTAAAAAAATACCTCGATGTATTTTTACTTGAAAATGCTAGTGTTGAGGATATCACTGCTGCATCTGAATGCATTGTATAATGTATAGTTAAAAAACTGACAGCCTAAAAACTTGTCGATATAAATTATTTCAAAAGTATCCAACAAGTGCAAAATTTACCTTATCTCGATTGCCTTCAACAACTGATGCTCTCAAACATCATGGGTTCAGAGTATATTTTCAGATGCAACAGTGGAATGGTTGTACTTTAGATCCTCTTGATTGGGGTTGGAAAAATTCCATAAATGGGCTAGTTCCTATTTTTAATAATAAATCTCCTGCACCTGAAAATTTACTTGAAAAAATAGCCTGTAAATGTATTAAAGACTGTTTGGGAATAAATTGTGAGAATGCTTATAAGCCTGATTTTTCTGAAGAGGACATTGATGAAAATGATGACGACGAAATTGTTATTAATATTGAAAATATACTAAATGAAACCGAAAATGTATAAGATATACAGGGTGTCTCACATTTAAATAGCAGGACTTCAGGAATCAGTAGAAGGCCTCATTTTGAGTCTAAAAGTTCCTATATATATATGGGTCCTAAAACGCTTCGTTTCTGAGATACAGGGCGTTCAATTTTATTTTTGTTTTATTTATTTATTTTTTAACTAAATAACCGCTGACAAAAAAAATCATCATGTTGCGGCGAAAGACTTAGTATTTGAGGGCAAATAATTTGACACAGAAAATCATCGCATATTAGTTCCAGTGGTGGAGATAGAGGGGTCTCTATGCATATTTTTATAAAAAAAAGTATAGCCGATTTGATATTTTGCAAATGTTTTCGAAAAATATGAAAGAGCATTCAATTTTACCCAGAAAAGGCCCTCTTGTCCAAAGTCGATAGGAGGTGGCGTTTTCAAGAAAAACCGAAAATACTGTTTAGAAGTCAAATAATAATTTTTAAACATTGTGTTACAACTAAATTAAATATGTAGTTCAAAAATTCGGTTAAAATTGTTTTTAATTAATTAAATGAAAATAAATACAAAAATAAATAACGAAAACCATATTACATCAAAGCAAATGTTCGAAATGTAAACCATTTTCTTCGATACATAACTGACACCGACGCTGAATAGAACGTCTCATTTGAATTAAGTTATTGTCTCTGATTTCACTGCATGCGTTCCGAATCCGACGAATAAGTTCATCCCTTGTGTCCACAGTAGTGGTATAAACTCTCTCTTTAATAAAACCCCAGAGGAAAAAATCTAGGGGTGTCAGATCAGGGGATCGGGGAGGCCATGCAACGATACCCCCGCGGCCAATCCATTTTTCGGGAAAGTGGGTGTTCAACCAGTTCCTGACATTTCGGCCAAAATGAGCTGGACAGCCATCAAGTTGAAACCATGCTCGCATTCTTAAATTCAGAGGAATTTCCTCCCACATGTTGGCACTCTCGGTCTCTAAGAACTCTAAGAAATTCGCAGAATTCAGTCGTTGAGGTAAGATGTAAGGGCCGAAAAGACAATTGTTATAAACGCCGAGCCAAATATTAACACTAAATTCGTGCTGAAAATTTCGTGGTCTGATTGCATGCGGGTTTTCATGTGCCCACTCATGCTGATTGTGTAAATTTGTCACACCTCGACGAGTAAAACATGACTCGTCGGTCCATAATATGTGTGATAAAAAATTTCCGTCGTTTTCAATTGAGTTAAGAATCCACCGAGAAAAAGCTATTCTATGTTCCTCGTCACCCGGACGTAAACCCTGAACAGGTTGTAAGTGGTAGGGATGTCTATGATCTCGTCTTAATGTTCTAGAAATAGTGCACCTGGAAACACCAATAATCCTGGAAATTTTTCTGGTACTCGTCGTGGGATCTCTGTCAAATTCGTGCAAGATTCGCTGATTCCTCCTATTTCTGCCAATATTAACGTTAATTATGTTGCGATCCCTATGGACCAGATTCAATCCGTCATTAGCGAAACGTTGATGAATATTAATAAAAACGTGTGGATGCGGCTGTCTTCTATTAGGAAATCGTCTCCGATATTCCCTAGCAGCTTCTGCCGAGTTCCCATTGGCAAACCCGTATACGAAGTGAATATCTGCGTATTCTTGGTTCGTAAACTTAAACGGCATTTTGAATTTGTTGCAATTTTTTTTAATACTCTACACACAATTAGAAACTATAATAAAATAAGCGCAAATGTCAATATTAGAATGACATTTCAAGTCTGATTTGATTTCTAAACAGTATTTTCGGTTTTTCTTAATTTGACTTCTAAACAGTATTTTCGGTTTTTCTTGAAAACGCCACCTCCTATCGACTTTGGACAAGAGGGCCTTTTCTGGGTAAAATTGAATGCTCTTTCATATTTTTCGAAAACATTTGGAAAATATCAAATCGGCTATACTTTTTTTTATAAAAATATGCATAGAGACCCCTCTATCTCCACCACTGGAACTAATATGCGATGATTTTCTGTGTCAAATTATTTGCCCTTAAATACTAAGTCTTTCGCCGCAACATGATGATTTTTTTTGTCAGCGGTTATTTAGTTAAAAAATAAATAAATAAAACAAAAATAAAATTGAACGCCCTGTATCTCAGAAACAAAGCGTTTTAGGACCCATATATATAGGAACTTTTAGACTCAAAATGAGGTCTTCTACTGATTCCTGAAGTCCTGCTATTTAAATGTGAGACACCCTGTATATAGGAACTTTTAGACTCAAAATGAGGTCTTCTACTGATTCCTGAAGTCCTGCTATTTAAATGTGAGACACCCTGTATATGATTAACTGTTGTTTAAATAAATAAATAATAATATCAAATCACCTATAAACTTATTTTAACTTTCACATTCACAAAACTAAATTTATTAAATAATACCGAAAGTTATACAAATTTTATAAAAAGGAAAAGTATCGTTGGTTAAATTGACATATCTCGGTTGATTTTAATTGGATAAACTTCTACCAGGCACCATTTTAAAGGTCTTGAAACCAGCTTTCATTTGAATATCGCATTACATATACCTAAATTAACTCAGAAAAAAGTTATAAGACGAAAATCGTCAAAAAAGGGCAAAAATTGTTTCTATTAGTCGTAGGTACTTCTATACAGGCTTATTTTAAAGGAAAAAACATTACCTTTTTTTTTGTGTGAAGCAATGCCTGTACCTAACTCCTCTCAGAAAAAAGTTGTGGGCCAAAAACCAAAAAGAAAAAAAAACGCATATTTTCGTTTTTTTTTTACTTGTTTTTTGGGCATATTTTTGTTAGACATAAATTTTGTTGACTTCAAAAGGTCTCATTTCGATTGGAAATTCAATTTGCTACAACTTTTCTGGTGACAACTATATAGAAAAAATTTATAGTTTTCGAGTAAAACTCAAAAAACTGAAAATAAAACGTTTTTACTTCATTCTCAAAAACACACCCCTTTAAAAGGTAGCACTCCGCGGTTTTATCATTTTTTAGGGTCAATTGAACATATCAAATAATAAAATTTCTGTTACGTTGTAGTTCCTATCTAAAGTACATAGTCAATAGCCTAATTTATACTGATTCTCATTAATCTAAATCTAGATTAATTTAATAAAACCTAAATTAAAATGACTACATACTTAATGAGAAATATACCCTGTTATTATCGTTAAAAGAAAATTACAGTATTTTTATAACAAATTTAAATCCCAGTGTATTACTTACTGAATGATTTTGCCGGTAAGGATTATACATCCTAAATATATGATTGAGTGTGAGAGGTTATACAGGGTGATTCACAAACGGTGACCAAAAATGAAACCTCGTATTCTTTGGTGAATTGTATGGGGAGTCTTTCTTAAAAATTTTTTATCTAGGGCGCCTCTTTAAAAAAATACAGGGTGTTTAGCTTAAAAAAATATTTTCTAAAATTTAGATGCTCTAGTGGCGGAGACACGGCGTATCGGTGGCAAATTCGATTTTTGGTTTTTTTTTACTTTTTGGCCTCTAATTTATGTTAAAAACGACGAAAATCTAAAAAATATTTAAGTTTGATCGGTTATAACAGTCAATACTAGTCCAAAAACTTTTGAAAATGCATCATTTTGAAGGGAATCTCATCTAGTTTTTTGCACAGCAATTTTCTTTGCCTACTTCTACTAAAAAAAAATTGGAGTCAAAAACGCAAAAAAAAATCTTATTTTTACTTTTTTTAAAATTGTTTATTAACGATTTTTTGTATAAAATTTTTCTTTTAAATTTTTAAATAAGTCACCTCGATGGGAACTTCAATTTTCTACAAAATTTTTCCTGTGAACTATACCGAAATTTTGCTACGTTTTCGTGCTATATTTAAAAAACTGCAAAAGTGTATTTTCACCCCTATCTTCAATTTCAACTCTCTAATTTAATAGCATCCCGAGGCCTTTTCATTTTTATTGACCCTTCGAACAGGTCATGTGATGAAAATCCTTGAACGAATCCTTTTTTGCAAAAATGAGTATACATATAAACGCGACAAAAATCGAAAAATTTACTAAGTTTGAGCGGCCATATATCAGTCAATTCTCATCCAAAAATAATATACAACCTTTTTTTTTTAAGGAAAT